GCCTCAAAGCCAACGCTGATTGGACGTTCGTTTGGTGAACGGCTCCAAATTTTCTTTAACGGAGAGTCTCCAGACGGATCTGCGAGTGAAACCTTGAAAGCTCGCGAGATTAGGATGGTCTCACGAGGCTAAATAACTTCTTCCACAAGCTGCGAAACTTGATTTTTATTGGAAAATAGACAAAAACTGGTTATGGTGATTTATTTATTGATTTTTTTTTAAGTGAAACTTAAAGTCAAATGTGCAGTTCAAGTAAATATATTATTTCCTCTTTATCTTCTCTTAGGGATCTGATGCCGAAAACCTTGGAGGGCCAGATCACCATGGAGAAAACTCCCAGCTACTTTGTGACCAGAGAGGCACCGGCGAGGATATCCGCCATGTCCAGGGACACCAAACTGATCGTGGTAGTGAGGGACCCTGTCACCAGAGCCATCTCAGACTACACGCAGACTCTGTCTAAGAAGCCCGATATTCCCTCCTTTGAGAGTCTGACCTTCAAAAACAGGACTACGGGGCTCATTGACACCTCGTGGAGCGCCATCCAGATCGGCATCTACGCCAAGCACCTGGATAACTGGCTGCAGTACTTCCCCATGGACCAGATCCTCTTTGTTAGCGGCGAGCGTCTGATCACCGACCCGGCCGGAGAGCTGGGCCGCGTGCAGGACTTCTTGGGCCTCAAGAGGATCATCACAGACAAACACTTTTACTTCAACCAGACCAAGGGATTCCCGTGTCTCAAGAAGGCAGAGGGCAGCAGCAAGCCTCACTGCCTGGGAAAAACCAAAGGGAGAACCCATCCGAACATTGATCCCGAGGTGGTGCAGAGGCTACGGGACTTCTACAGACCCTTCAACATGAAGTTCTACCAGATGACCGGGCGTTTCTTTGGCTGGGATGACTGAATGTCTTCGTGCCGGACTCAAACTGAATATGGTGCTGCTGCTGTGCAGCTGTGGTGCGGGCAAGCTGCAAAAAGTCTCACATTGAACTGCAGAGTTTAAAACATCCCTAATATGTGCTGCTAATTTTGGGTTTTGCTTTTTCTTCCTTCATTTACATGATAAAAATTACACAGTGAAAACAACTATTACACAAAAACAAACCTTAACAGAAAAATGTTACACAAATCTAACAATAGCATTATCAGTGGATAGCAGATGAAGGACAATGAATGCATTTCATAAGATTTCAAAGCATGACTGCCAGATTCACATGTGTTATGGTAAAACACATGCTTGTAATGGCCAGTCATTCTATCTCTACTGAACCCTGCAACCAGGCTGGATCTGCTGAGACCCCTGCTGCAGAAAAGGCGTTCAAGAGCTGAGAAGTTCGCGTAGATTTCCACTGTTTTGAATTTCTAGAGCAACATTAGCAGTAGCCATTCAAAATTCTCCCACTTTCCTTAATGGGTACTTGGCTGATCCCCTACAATTTCTTTTTAAAATCAATGTTTGTCCTTAAATATTCTTTCTTTGATTTGTGGACATTAAGATCTAGGGTTGGGTAAAAAAAAAAAAAAATGAATTGATTCCTTTACATTTTTGCAAAATCGATGTCTAGGGAATGAGATCGATTAGTTTTATAGTGACGTGTGTGACGTTCACATTCAAATGAGTAGGAAAGATGCACTCAAGATGACTTCAAGCAAGACAGACAATGCTGCAAATATGGTTTGTGCAGTGGAGATAATGCAGCTCATGCATGTCTGCCGTGTCACGTCTGCTTGCTCGAGTGAGGCTTCACTTTTTTAACTTTTCACAAACAACTTTGCACTTTTGAGACAGTTTTATTCACATCTCAAGTTTAAACTGTCTAATTTACAAGTTTGCACTTTGTGTTTTATGTGACAGGAAAAAAATAAAATACATGAGCATTTTGAAACACAGTTTAACCGCTTTCATTATTGTAAAAAACAAATCAAATCGAAATTAATCGATTTAGAACCGTATGAATCAAAATCCAATCAATTCAAGACTTTGGCAAAAATACCCAGCCCTATTAAGATCTAAAGAGAAATTGTATCTCCTGGTCAGACTCTTTAATTCAGTGAAAGGGTGGAGTCAGTGTAGAAAAATATGCACGCCCAGGAGAAGGCCAGTGGCTGGGAGTTGGAGGGGATTTTGCTGGAATCTGCAGGGAAGTGGGCTGCCATTCGGCCATTTTGAATGGCTGCTGCTGTATCATCCATGGCCATAAATATAATTTTTCATCCTCCAGTAGCCCCTTTATTTCCTCTTGTATTTTTTTGCCTTTAAGATTTTGCTTATGTGGGTTTGTTGATTTTATTTTGAAATTCAACTGGACTTTTTTCTTGTTCGGTTCTTGACTTTTCCTGTTTGACTAGTAACGGCCAAACTTCCTGTTTCCGGATTCACTTTACTGATCTGCACGGCCTTGACGTGAGCTAACAGATCAATGTAAACGATTTGGGGTTTCTGGCGGCGCCCGCATCGCAGCCGCACCGCATTCAGTGTGAGATCGGCATTGGCGTTTCCAGATTGGGAGTGACAGAAATACAGTGAGGTTCTACAGAGAAACTTGATGGTATGAGAATTTGACACTTTGGGTAAGAAGTTCAATTGCAGTAAAAAAAAAAAAAAAAGATTTTAAAAATTGTATTATTTATGTTTTATTAAAAACATTGATATATAAAAACACTTAATAGACCCATTTTCTGTTTTTAAACAAGGCTTTTCTGCTCCAATTTTATGAAAGATCATGAAATGTTATTAATTTAATTAAATTTAACAAAAGTATATCACAACCGTTTCACAGATCCTGATGGAAAAAAGCATCTTTTGCTGAGCCATAAATGAACTGTAACATTTTTTTACCGGTGGAGTTTATTGTTTGTTGTTAGATGTAAAGATGTTTCGCTATCAGAGGCCGCACCTTTCTCGCCTCTCTGCTCTCACAGCTTCCTAAAGCAGGGTTTTCTGAGGGTCGGTCCTGGATGTAGGGTCTCCTGCACCTTTTAGATGTGTCTCTGCTTAACACAGCTCAGTCAAATAATCAGGTCCAGCATGGCTCTGGAGAACTTGACTGGGTGCTGACAAAAAAATCAATCAAACAATTAATTCAGGTGTGGAAACAGACACGTCTAAAAGGTGGGACGGTAATTAAGCTACTCTTTCCTAAAGCATAAATGGGTCAACAAAGAGACCCTTTTTTTATTTGACTGGGTTGCTTTTTTATTTAAAAATCTACATGCATTTCTTTATTATTTTGTAATATGACCCCTTAAGGTGTATGAAACCTGTCAAACATTTTTCCACCAGCTTTTAATAGCTTGCTGGAATTTCTTCTGACAAAACTGCTGTGATCGAATCAGGGTTGTACTGTAGGTTTTCTTACAAACGTCCTATTGGACTAAGAGCAGGGCCCTGTAAGGGCATCTCCCCTAACAGGCCCTTTGTGGCTGATTTAGCCGTATGCTTTCAGTTACTGTGAAAGACACATTTGAACCATCGATTTTGCTTCCAGACTGTCTTAAAATGTTCCTTCAGTATGTTGTTGTTACAGTTCTTCCTAATGAAGCTTTTCTTTTTGAGAAGTTTATCAGTCCATCCTACAGGCATAATGACCACAAAACCTCATGCTTCTTCCCCGCTCTTCTGTTGGGGTTCTGTTCTCAGGTTTGCAAACATCATACTGTTTCATCCAAATATAACCACAGTCCTCATGGCCAAATCATATTTTTTGACTAACATTTGGAAGACCTTTACAATTTTAGCGTTGCACAGTTACCAGTATCGGGGCCCCGTCTAAATGGTGGTATCGGTATTGGCGAGTACTGACAAATAGGGCACCGATACCATTTTCAGAACCAAAGGTTTATTCAACTATTGTCACCGATTCCAGGTTGGCATAAAAGTTCTCCTGGATTCACTTTGTATTAGATGACAATTATTTTACATCTAGGGTATCGGTATCAGCCAATACTGCACAGCCAGTTACCGGGTATCGGTATCAGGGACAGAGCAATAGAGAATCTGATGCTACGTTCACACCGGACGCAGCAAAAGCAGCAAAATCGCGTCTGCTGCTTCATTTTTGCTGCTTGTACCAGTTAGTTCTGACGCGCGGCTGAAGCAGCTTTGCTGCTCTGGCTGCCCGGTGCAAAAGTGTGTCTGACGCGCGTTGGGCGGAGCTACTCTATCCTTTCTCTGCCTTGCAGCTATATTTGCTGTGATCAGTGGGAATAAAATAGTTTTATTGTGTTTTTAAGTGGGAAAATCCACCTGAAAACTTAATCATTGCAGTCAGGTCATCCAGATTACCATCCCGCCTTCCAATATTATTTCTGTCGGAGCCGCTTAGACCCCCACATACCAGCGGTGTGCTGTCAGTAGGAATCCCATTCAACAGCAGCCTCTGGCCGGGTCGCCTCCTCGCGGTTCACTGCGGCAGCTGGTAGGTGTTTTTCATCTAAATAATCTAAACTGCAGGCGGCAGGATAATAAAAGCAAACATATTCTGCCGGCAGATTTCTGCATTTTAAGTTAATTTATGCGTCAATAAACAGTTTCAGAGGAGCGATCACAGCACTCTGTGTCATCAGCTATGTGCCAGCTCCAAGATCAGCTGCTCTGATTGGTTGATGCGGCGCGTCGAGCAGCAAAAGTAAAATTTTTCCATCTCAAGCAGCAGCGCGTTTGCGGCGCGTCAGATGCTTAGACGCGCATCAACCATTGACTTTGCATGTAAACTCGCTGCTTCTGCTGCGTCCGGTGTGAACGTAGCATTAGAATTTATCTGTTGAGGAGATTTATAGGTTTTTATTTTGAACAGTGTTCATAATAGCGGTAAAGCTAGTCCTCACATGGGTTTTAAAGGCCAGATAAAAACAGTGAATTACAGTATTACTTGAAAAATATTGGATAAATCATATATTAGCTTTCCCTGTAGTTTCCATATTCTTTGAAAAAATACCATCTGTTTCGAGGATTCTTCAGTCATACTCTTGCTTTTAGATGACAGTAGAATCCAGATGTTATTCATCAAAGTTCACAAATATTTGTTATGGAAGCTCCAAATTAAAGCCCTTGAAAATGGGAGTTTTTCTTTTGACTAAAATGCAGTAAATGTCCATTTGAAGTGTTCCTCTCTCATTCTGAAGTGGAAATATTCACTGGAAGCAGTTAAGTAGCAACACTGGCAGCATCTTAGATAAAAGGGCTTATAAAAATATAGATTTTGGAGGCCTTTCATTTTCAAATTGCATATCAGATGTTGATTAGCTTTAATAAGAAAAATCTGGAGGGATTCTGCTCTATAAGGGAGAGGAGTCATTGGAAACAGACGGTTATGTTTTTAATGATTATGGAAAAGAAGGGAAAATAAATTGACATTCTCAAATAAGGAGAAAATACCGCATAGAAAACCACCCTAATGCTTATATTTCTTTATTCACTGGCAGATTTTGCTTTTGTGTTGAAAGGTCCAAGCCAGCGCTACTGCCGTAATTTATTGTGTTTGCGTGACCTGAAGAAAACCCAGCGAGGGCTTGATTCCCTGTCGTTTTAGAACGGGAGTCTGACTTGACTGCCGTTATGAAGGCATCTTCTGCCAAATCCTGATTTTAAGTGTTTAAGTCCAAACTCGAAATCTAAATCTACAAATCACTCCCTTATTTGAGTGCCTTTCATTGCTGCGGTGGTTTAGAGATTCTCAGAATGGAACCATTTTTACAATATCAAAGATTTTCAATGATCTCCTCAAGGATTCATTTATTTTTCCCCTTTTACGGCTCAGTACCAACAGACAGGTCTCCAAAATTCGACATTTTTTTCTCAGAATGCATTTAGAAAACCGGAATCTAGATTTTTCTTCTCTCTCTCACCGCCTTCAGCCACACATTTCTGACCAAAACACATTCATGCCTGGGACACAGAGCCCGTTTTTTTTCTTGAGTTCTATGCAGCATCATACTATTTATCTGATAAATTGAAGAGGAGGAGCTATCTTCTTAAAAATGACCGCCAGGAGCTGCCTGGAGGGCAGCAGTTCTTCCTAAAATA